GTTGGGAAATTTTTACAGTAGACCCAGTAAACTATGGCGAACAAAATGTACGCTTCAGATCTTTTTAAAAGTCACTTTCATTTTCGTCCTCCAGTTGTACAAAAAAGTTACGATTCGCTCATGTATGGATTATGTGATTTTCTTTTTAGGTGTATAGTATGTTACGGTTTTGGCTGTTTTTGTTTATTGTTGTTTAGTATCTGCTAGATTGCGACTAGGGGTGGCACATTACTATTACTGTTATCAGTAACACAAATATTGTATACATTACTGTTACTAGTAACAGTCATACTGAACAGTATTTCTATTACCAGTAACAGTAATACTCATAAAATTAGTATTACTTTTCAGTAAAGTAATAGAAGAAAAAAAAAATTCAGTAGGAGCGCGTATATCAGCATGAATTGATTGTGGCGCCCCCTATTTAATTTATTTTTCTTGTACTACTTTACTGAAAAGTAATACTAATTTTATGAGTATTACTGTTACTGATAATAGGAATACATGGAAGATTACTGTTACCAGTAATAGTAATATATACCTTTTAGTATTACTTTCCTCGGTAATGTAATACATGAGTAATCGTGATACTCCCACCCCTAATTGCGACACCTTTCGTGTGGGTTTTTGCTATAGTTTTTCTCGTTTTAGTCGTTTGTCAAAACCTTAATGTTTTAAGATGCTGGATGTGTAGGATCGAGTTTTTTGGGCATAACTTGATGAGTTCTGTGGATACATGTCAAAGAAGATGGAAAAACGTTTTACGGAAGTTTTAATTTCGGATAATAAGTGAAACGATTCTTTAGGGAGAAACCCTTAGTGGTAAAATAGTTTGGTGTCAGAGAATCTCGTTGCGTACATTTAGTATATAGAGAATGATGCGAGAAAAGGAGATGACTAGCAGAAGTTCTGATAGAAAATATAAGTAAAAAAGAAGCAGTGAGATATAAGAAAAGGTAGTCATAGATGCAAATGCCACATTAATTAGTGGCGTTAGCTTACCATAATATGATGAATTACTGCAATCAATATGCACTCGCATTAATTACTTTGATCGATACATTGATTGAAGAAATTAGTATGGAAATAGATTGATTTTAGTAATTAATCTGAGATCATATATGCTATTATGAATCAATGTGTTTCGATATTAATTACTACAATCAATTTAACGGCATCAAAATGCTCCGAGATTAATTACTTTTTCACATTGATTAGCTTAATCGATATGTTCATCCTGCAAGTAATGTGAAAGCTTACTGCTACTAGAATGCTCCCACTATTAAATATTAGTGGAATCACCTTAATCCTTGTAAATATCTCCTTCAATACGTCATATTATTCGACCCAATCTAACCTTACATATAAACAAAGAGAAAAACACAATAACGGACGTTTCCCTTTTCCTTTAAAATTTCCCATTTTAAAACCATTTCACTGTCAAAAACGCATTTTTAGTCAAGGGTCAGTGAATCGAAAGTGAACGTTACTTGTTTTTTTACGGCTCATTATATTCTAGCCGATCTTTTTATCATCGAAACAAGAACAGTCTGTCCTTTAAAATTTTCTTTTCAGTTTCGTTTCTTTGGAAACACAATCATTACTTGAGTTTTGTTATGAATGAAATATTTGATTCTCAATATTAATAAATAGGATGTAGAATTTATTTAAAACTATAAATTTTATTTAACGCAACCGTAGCGTCACACATGTTCACTTACATCTAATCACAGATATCTTTTCTATCTAACTTCAATAGAGGAGCATTTTAGACAAGGGTGAGTGAAGAAAAAACCTTTCTTTCCACCTTTCGAAAGGAAAAGATGAAACTATACCTTTCTTTTCAAAATCATTCAGGCACGGCTAATAATGACTAATTTCTCATTCTTCGTGTTTATTTTCAGAATAAATGTCTGCATGTAGTAAGAAAAGATTAAGGTTTTACATTATTTTTTTATTAGTATCCGTACCTCCCATTTACTTTTATAATCTCAAGAAAAGTTCCAAAAAACTGTTAGAACAAGTGGCATTAACAAAATCCTCTTTAACCACAACTAAAGGCAACTTGTCGTATATTATTTACAATTGTGTACCTAAATGTGGCAGTAGGACATTGGTTAGCCTATTGTATGCTGCAAGCACTACACAAAACTTTTCAATTTTCCATCGAGATTTCTTACGAGGCGAGTTTCAACTGAACGATCAACAACTGATAACATATAATAAAGAAATAAATGGCTTACAACAATTCACAATATACATAGGTCACGTATATTTTCTTTCGTTTAAACAAAAAGTTCAACCCTTGTATATAAATATTATACGTGATCCCACACAACGAATTGTGTCTGAGTATTACTATTTACGTTCTCTATGTTTGAGTAAAAATATTTGTCGAGAAGGTTTTAACAGAGAATATATGAATCGAACTTTGGATGATTGCTTAGCGGTGGAAAACGAAATGGATCCGTATATATGTATATCAAAAATAAATGGTCTTTCGTCTCTGTTGGGCTTCTTTTGCGGTCATCAATCGTACTGTGGAGAAGTAAACAGTTTTCGAGCATTTCAACAAGCAAAATGGAACATTGAAAAGTACTATACTGTTGTTGGTCTAACGGAACAATTTGACGAATTTCTATTTGTTTTACAACGTCTGATTCCAAGATATTTTCGAAATGTTTATCAATTATATCAGACAGAGGGGAAACCACACTTAAACAAACAGCCGGATGGATACGCTGGAAGAATACCGGTACCGGTAACATTGAATAAATTAAAGTTTTTGTTGAAATATGATTATGAGTTGTATAATTTCGTTAAAAAACGATTTTATGAACAGTACATGCAATTAAAACATCGTATCTGTACTTCAACAGTATTATGTTCGTAGATGCCATCCTCAATTCTATACCTGGCACTTGTTTTTAGTGACAAACAATCTGTGACACATTGATTTAGTGATCCAGACGATTAATAAGGTTTGATTACATAAAATCAAGTAACACTCACTTTACTTTTCACTTCCAATTTGTCTTTTGGTAAGGTTCCGCCCCCCCCCCCCCACCCCCACTCAGAAAAATAAATTTTCGTCCAAAAAATTGATTTTGAGATTTATATATGGTTAAAGAGTCCAAAGTGTCCTCTTTACAAACGCACTAAGTTTTATGCCTTGAAAAATGGCTTTTGATGATTTTCTCAAATCCCCGATTCTAAAAAATTAGTTTTTTATTGAAATATCACGGCATATGCAAAAATACATGTCGCACATGCTCCTGCATACGCTAATTGGACTACGTAAAAATCTATGGGGAACTATTATTATATTTCTTTCCTTCTCCGTTTTTCATTTCGTAAACTTGTTTCACGTTTTTCTCAAAATCTCTTTTTACAAATATAGTGTTGCGTACTTCGAAGATATCTGTCATTTTTCAAGCTAAAAATTTCAGATTGGTATCAAAAAACAGAGAAATGTTTTTTCTATATCGTAACGTCGTTGAATTTTTCAATTTAAGTTTAGTTTAGCAGAAATTTAAAAAGTTTCCGAAAAGTACGTAAAATCTCTTTAACTTATCAGAAACTTTTTAAACTCCTCCTAAACTACACTGAAGAATCACTGCATGAGTGGACGGCTTGGCCAGCTAACGGTACACCAGAGTGCGGAAGTATGAAGCGTTAAATGAAGTGGTAAAACTAATCTTATGTGAAAGAGCACACTTTAAGGTGTAGGAAAATAATTTTCGTTTGTTTGTACT